GGGGGGGGGGGGAGAGTAGCCAGAACTGGACTATCCAGGGGACAACCCCAGGAAAACTCATCGTTTAGAACCTAATCAAACACAGGATTGGTAAGATTGATAAGACTGGTAGGGTTCTTGGGAAAAACCATTAGAACTGAAGTGTCTCTCCCACAGCACGACACCACACGACTTATTAACACAAAGGAGCGATGTTCTTGGGAAATGCCTTGAAACAGATCTTAGGTGAGTCTATTTGAACCACTTCCTGAGTCTGCCGAAGCTGATTCCTCTTGAGTGGGGCCCGCGTGAAGCGGATTCTCATTGGCTGAAGGGTTTATGCTCAAGAAAGATAACTAAGCTGTGGGGAGTAGGTGAGCATAAGGGGTGATCCACTGAGAACGTTAGGATGCTCCCTTTCCCTTCAAGTGCCTAAGGATCATACTGACACTAAGTCCAATATATCCCCTGCAGTTTCTGCGTCAAACAGCGCAGTGGGAGCCAGCACCTGGTGCGGCTGGCTGTCCATCAGGCTCCGCAGAGGTCAGCCACAGCAAGGATGTGGTCGCACATACACGCTAACAGGGGAACCTTCCACCAGAGCCTTCAAGATGCATGCGCCAAATCGGCCCCACTGCATTCTGACTCCCTGGGCCTCTCCTAACAGCTACTTCACATCCAGTTCAGAAGAGACTTAACCAACTGCACTTGCTATGGGGCAACTGACAATGGGAGAGGAAGCGAAAGGGCCCAGAAACACAGGCTCCTAACCGAGAGCGAGACCTTAGTCACTCACAGATGCTCCTGACCCACCGACTCCTCTGTAACCAGACACTGTCTGTTACTCTTCCTGGATCCCCAAAAGGTTTTTGTTTTAATTTCATTGCTTAAACCACATTCAGTACCCGAGTTGGACGTTAATTGCACCACCTACACCAAGTGCTTGACAGTCCTTCAATTCCAAATTCCCGTCACCAAACAAGCTGCCAGCCCGCTGCCCTGGAGCTCTTCTCGCCCCAAGGAGTGGCAGCAAAGGCACTCGGACTGAGACACCCCTGGGCCAGTGGAAAGACCCTCCCATAGCAACCGCAGGTCCCATTTCTACACCCTTAAAGCAACACTTTCGTAGACAACTTACATTTGTAGCATGACCTGGTTCAGAAAGATGCCATCCACCAGTTTCATGTAGAAATTCAAGTTGTCGCAGTTGCCGCTTCGGAATGGGTCCAAAGTTTGAACCTGCGAGGAGGGGTTGGGGAGAAAGGCAGCACAAGTCACCCCGAGCACATCCTAAAGCTCTGCAGACAACCACAGGCCTGGGGGCTGAAGGGGTCCCCCAACGCCCACCCATGCTTCAGTAGGCGCAAGGCCCCCTTTCCCCAGGGCCCCCTCACTTCCTTCTCCAGGCAACAGACAGGAGGCAGCAGGAGGGACACCTTCCTCCCACTTTTCTCCAGCACCCAGAAGGGGAAAAACAAAAGTAAAGGGGACTTTTCAACAAATTTCTCATGTCTCTGATCTATTGGAGTCACTGTGCCCACCCCAGACTGTACACATTCCCACTCTGAGACCCCCAATCCCACCCATCACTGCCATTCAAGGGCTGGTCTTGGGTTCAAAAACTAACTACACCAGGATATTTGGGGAGAGTGAGTCCTATTCCTGAGTGGTCAATCCACAGGGGCCACGGCAACCACATCGACCCTGTCCACTCCTGGACTGGCAGCCCAGCACCCCGGTAGGGACAGGTGTACCCACAGGCCAGGGCTGGGGCACTGAGGGGTCCTGCACAAGGAGAACCGGCTCCAGAGTTGGAAACACCTCCGGACCCCAGGCCACTGTCCGGACCCCAGCTGGGAACACCTGCTAAGACCCCTGAGTCCCCGGACTGCCTGCCACCCGCAGCCCCCACCCCGACGGGTCAGGTCTGCAGTGACCCGAGGGGGGTGGGAGAGGAGCCCGGGCACCAACACTGGGGCTGGGAGCCAGGGGCACTCACCCAGGTCACCAGCGGGCTCTGCAGGAAGAGCTCCATGAGCTCTGAGACGGTCACATCCATCCCGAGGCTGCGTCCAGTCGCTGCGCCCACCGGCTCTGCGCCTCGAACTCTAAACAGCTCTGCGCCCCAAATTCTAAACGGCTTTTCACCCCACATTCTAAACTGCTCTTTGCCCCACATTCTAAACTGCCCTTCACCCCACATTCCAAATGTACAGCCATTTGGGCCCAATGCCAAGTGCTTTGGAACACACAAAAATCATGACACTCTCCCTATGAAACTTAAGGTCTGTCTGGACACATAAAATATAAAGGTTCCATATCTACTTTCTACATGATTATCAATGGAAATTAACCACAGAAACCTAATTTTGTCTATCCCTATTTTTTAAAATTATTTTTTTCCATCAGCCGAATTACAGAAATGTGATCAGTTCCTTTGAGGCAACAATACACTCACTTTATTTTGCTAAGTCTTGCCCAGTATCTCAGCTTGGGAATTCTCCCCATCGGCAGGGAAAGGGGATGCTCCGGTTAGCAGTTCATCCGTCAGGACAGCTAAACTCCACCAGTCAACTGTCTGCAGAACAATGTGATAGAATAGTAACTAATATCTAATTTATAGGAAAGAAAAATGAACAAAATAAAGCTGTATATTTGGAATATGTATTTTTTCCATTGCTTTTCAGAGAGTGAAAAGGAGACACAGAGAGAGAGAGAGAGACATTGTTGTGAGAGAGACACAGCAATTGCTTGCGTCCCACAAGGCACCCAGACCTGGGCAGGGGATCGAGCCTGCAACCAGGGCACTTGCCCCTGGCCAGAATCGAACGCAGGACCCCTCAGTCCAAGAGTTGACACTCTAACCACTGAGCCAAACTGGCTAGAGTTGGAAAATATTTTTTTTAAAGCTGGGACTCCTTTTTTTTTTTTTTTAAATATATCTTTATTGATTTCAGAGAAAGGAAAGGAGAGAGAGAGAGAGAGAGAGAGAGAGAGAGACATCAATGATGAGAGAGTCATTGATCGAGCCCACAACCTAGGCATGTGCCCTGACCGGGAATCGAACCCCGATCACCTGGATCCTAGGTCGATGCTCAACCGCTGAGCCACGCCCGGCCGGGCTGGAAAATATTTTTTAACAAAGATTTCGTACATAGCTTTCCCTACAAAGAGTATTAAATTAGCACATGCAAGAAAGACATTTAGAGAACAAATATGCTGGTACCTCAGAACAGAATTTAAGCACTTAGGCCATCAATCAATGAGCTAAAAGTGTTTTAATCATTTTCTAAACCAGTAATGGTTTTACTTTGATTAATTAAATTATTTTTTAATTTAAATTTGAAATTATTAAGTAAATGAAATCGTTGAACTTATGAAAGAGGTGAAAAAAGTACTGATTAACATTTTTTTTAAATATCCAGCTCCAATAAATACTATAAAATTACTTAAAGTCAAAGAACAAAAATGAAAAAAATCCCACCTTAAGGTGTTATTTTTTTCATAACCACTTAAATCAATTCCTTTTGTAAAACCTATCACCTAAATGTCACAGTCTTCATTTTCGGGAAGCATGATGAGATTTAAAATAATGTAACACAAAGTGTGATGCAAATGGGAAACAAATTTATAAATGTAGTTAAATCATTAGCTGTGAACTGAGGACACAGCTAATAATNTAATGTACATCAAAATATGATCCATATGGGAAACAAATTTATAAATGTAGTTAAATCATTAGCTGTGAACTGAGGACACAGCTAATAATGCCGCCTAGGGAAATGGCCTGAGGTTCCCTATGTTCAGCCCTTTTCTTGAGCTCCACCACTATTCTGAACTCCGCTCCTCCTGCCACATCCTTTGTGCCTCCACCTCCAGGCCCCTAGAACCTCCAGAAATCCCTGATCTGCCTTCTTCTGAGCTCACCACCCCCCTCCACAGAGCTGCCGCCTGGGTTTATCCCTTTCTTTACTTCAAAACCACAGGCACCTGGAGTGAGACACTTACTTAGCAGTCCTGCTACTATCAGAAGCTGACTCATTACCACCCAAACCTTAGCATGTTCTCCCTAAGGGTGTAGTAAGTACAAAGCCTGTTAGAGGAGCCCTTTGCANGAGGAGTCCTTTGCGTCTGTTATGAGAGCTGAGCACTTTGGGGATGCATTTTATCCAGCAGACAGCCCCAGATATCAAAAGAAAATTATATAAACTAGCCTTAGGACCCCAGGCTCCCGCTGACCAACTGGCAGAAATAAANTGCATTTTATCCAGCAGACAGCCCCAGATATCAAAAGAAAATTATATAAACTAGCCTTAGGACCCCAGGCTCCCGCTGACCAACTGGTAGAAATAACTTCCAGTTTTTAACAACTGAAACAGGGCAGAGAAAGAGCAAGAAAGCCATCCTATAGCAACAAGCAGCTCAGCTTTAAGCCATATGTCACCTCAAGGGCCATGCCCCCTGTCACAAGTCTGGTCACTGGAAGGGGGACTGTCTAAAGGGCTGGAGGTCCCCTGGACCAGAACCTAACCACACAATGGCCTTGACTGATGGGGCCCAACACTCCAGTTGTNACTGACGGGACCCAACGATCCAGTTGGCCCCCCACTAAGAACATCATCTATGAAGGGACAGAGCCATAGGTGACCCTTGATGTGACAGGTAAACCCATTACACTTTTATTTTATTAGACTGCTTGCTCTGCTCTCACCCACTCGCCAGGACCCCTCTCATCCGAAACCTGTTTGGTCCCTGGGGGATGGGGATCCTCAAGGCTACTCAACCCCCCAACTGCAGCCTCAAGAATCTCACTTTTAGTCATGTCTTTCTAAGCCTCCAGATAATATCATTAAAGAAAATCTTATAAAAATAAGTCTCTGAAATGCTCCCAACTCTCCCAGAAGACCGGAGTTGCACAAGCTGCAGAAGCTGCAAAGAGGGAGGAGTGCCGCCCTCCCCTGGTAAAGGAGAGAAGTGTCAGCTTTAAATCCAAAGTGCAGGAGGCCTGGGAGCTGCAGCTCTGGGGACAAGCTGCCTGCCAGGCCTGTCTGCTCCTCCTCCTGCCTTTTCTTAATTTTCCAAAGTCTTTGGTAACTTAAAAGCTTTGGAGCACTGCTGGGTTAAATAATAAAAGTTATGAAACATCTAGATATTTTAAAATAACATGAAATACTGAAACATTGATTGCTAGACAAGTTAAATTCACCTGCTTTTAGCTTTTATCACACAAAATCTCAATGGATTTGGAACTGTTGTTGTAATGTCTTGTGCTTTTTTAAAGGTGTGCTTGAAAATAAGAGTATGTTTAAGTGTATTCATACATGTCAATCTGAGAAATGCTGGTTGTTTACTTTTTGGTTATCATTGGGAAATTAAGGTTTCTAAAAACTAAGAATTCAAATTAAATGGGAAACATTATATGAATTTAATAATAGAAGGCACAAAATATAAAAACACATATTTTCAGGAAAGGATTGAAATTAAGTTAGTCTAATGATGGTTATTTCTGAATGGGTAAAACGTTTGTAAAAGGTTGTGAAGATTGTAAAAGTTTATGAAAGTCTGAAGTCTGACGGAAGACCCCAGGAAGGCCCCAGTCCCCTCCTCCACCTAATTTCTCTCTGGTGGACCTAGAGTTGCTTTCATTGCACTTTCTCTCCCACTTGTCAGTGTGGGGAAAACTTACCTGTCCCGCTATGGAGTAAGTCCTTTATGAATACACATGTCATCAATTTAGAAATGAAAGAAATCTGTNAGCTATGGAGTAAGTCCGTTATGGAGACACACGTCATCAATGTGGAAGTGAAAGAAATCTGTCCTCTGGACACAGAGTCACCAGCCCACATGACTGACACCTGGGTGATGGGGCCCAGTGAGCCAGGACCTGATCACCCCTGATATCGAAGGGACCCCTTCTCTCCTTGTATTTCTAACAGCCCCACTCTTGTCATGTCACATCTTAGGTCACTAGGGCTCTGACTTGTAAGTTTCCAAAGCAGCCCTGCCCAGGCTCTCTCCTGTTGCTTAAGGCCTTCGATTGAAGCCTAGACTTTCTTTATTTCCACTGCTCATTCACAGTGCTTTACTCTTACACTGAAAGTCTCAACAGGTCTTCCTGCTTGGTATTTAGGAACTTCTCTCCCCTTTTCTAGCCTTCTTAAATGTTATCAGAGGCAAATGGAAAATCTTATGTCTTCTCTACAAAAATTAATAATTTAAATCATGTGTGTGGTCTTGGTGTATTTGTCTGTATGTGATATGTAATGTGTTTTCTGCCTCCGGATGGCACCACTAGGGTTTAATGTTTTATTGGCCTGCAGAGATTAAATACTTATATAAATTAAATAGGATCCTGTGGTGTAGACAAAATGTTTAATATTAAAACCAGTTTAAGTGTAATTATATCTTTTAAAGTTATTACCATAATATATATACATGTGTTTTACCTAGGTTTACAAAAGATTTATAATATAATCTTTTGGTTAAGTATATTTGACATCCTTCCTAAAGTTTAAATTTAAAAAGACATTTTTAAACAGAGAAATGACTTTGAGTTATTACAAAGGGCCCTGAAATGCCTCAAGGATTCATTCTCTCTCCTACATTTTTAACCAATTAGGCCTATTTAATGTGCTTGAAAAACTACCTGGAAAGCTTTGCCAAATAAGAATTAACAATGATAACAATAATAATAATGATAATAATATATATATGATGAATATTCTAAAACTTCCAGTCTGCTCTAGGAAGGAACTTGCAAAGATTCAGACCTGAGCTCAAAAAGGAAATTCTCAGGAGTAACAAGTATCCTGTCAGTGACGCCGGACAGGCCTAGGGCAATAGTTCCTTCTGGAAGGCATCTGGCAGTAGTTCTCCAGATGTTTGTAAACTACACATTGGGGTGTTTATGAATCATTTTCCCTGCTCAATACACACTTCCAATGAGCCATGTGCAATGTTTTAAAATCTTGCATATTGTTTGTTCTTCATATATATTTTAGAACTCTACATTGAATCTAAGAGGATAAACTTTATATTTTTTCTTTATGTCATTTAATA